GGGTTCGATTCCCGGCTGTGCCCGAATTTATAACTTGTGTTGGGCCAGGCCGTGGTCTAGGCAACACGGAGTTTTCCTCCGTGGCATCCCAACAATTACTCCATTCACACACAGAAGAAGGCAATGGCAAACCACTTCTGGATCATCTGCCAAGAACGTATATGAACAGGTCCCAGTCCGAGAAGAGGATGGAAGGATCCTGTTCATATGGACCTGTCGTCAGACAGAACACTAAATAAATATAATAAAATAAACAATCACTACTAAGTCCTATTGTATGCACAGCAGAATATGAAACACAAAGAAAGAATTTTAGTACAAAGACTCGCGATATTCGAAATCGATCGAAATGTATGTGAAATAATGGAACCGCGATTCAATTATCAATAAACTTGCAAACAATTTATCGACTACAGCTCGGAATACAAAATTTGTTTCTGATAAACATCGCTCGTACTGGTACAAGTTTTAAATGTATAACTTCGTGCTTGTTAAAACTTTCGAGAAATGACGGTGGTAAAATATTTCGAAAATATTCTTATAAAGTAACAAATAAAGTATTCGGTCGTCATTCAGATGGTGATGGTAAGACAGTGCAGATTATTTGAACTTTGGATTGAGTTTTGTGCTCCTTGTGAGTCTGTGGTCAGAGGAGCGAGTGCTGACAATATCTGAACGTGTCCTGCCGAGAGAACAATATTTGTGAATTCTCACCATTTCTTATATTCTTTGGGTTATGAGACTTGGAATGAAGGAATTAATTCAGAATGAAAAATTTAAAAGTCTATCGAAGAAACAACCGTGACCTATTTTGAGATAGCATCTGATTTGAAAAACTGCAACATACCGGGAAGAACTTCAGTCAGGATTGCCATTTTCCGGGCGTGTTGCCCGGAACTGGATTTCCGGAGGAAAATAAGAAGCAGAACTGGCTACTCAACTGCGAATTTCGGCCCTCGGACGGATTTTAATGTTTATCATTTTTAAAATGTCTATCTATCCATGAGAATGTAATTACGACGGTATGGATTAGCAGAGATTATAGAATTTTACTATTTATCTAAGGTACTCAACAAAATATTTCAGCATATTTGCAAATAAAGATAAGAATATAGAAGTTTGATGTCTACGTGAGTACACACGCCTCATAAATATGCTTTCATACTTTAATTGCTTTGAATCATATGAGACATTAAAGCACTTCACAAATGGAACTGAGTCAATGTTGACCTGAATGTTTCATATTATATGTAGGCCTACTTTATTACAAGTTTGATTTTTATTTATTCATTATAACCTGGAAGACACAGACAGTAGTTATCTAAGAAATCTCACGTGTAGTGGGATTTCCATTTTTATTTCATCATTTCTATTTGAGGTCGCGCGAGAAATGGTGACACCTAAATGCGCGATGTGTAAGCCGAGAGAGGGGAGTTCAGTAGTAGTGGGGGTCGCACAGCCTCAGCTGCGGTGACCCACCGAACTAAACACAGCGAGAGCTACAAAACAACTGAAGGTTACACCCCTCTAGCGCGTGCTTCGGACGAGTCCATCTCATACGACCAAAATCAGTCCTTTGCGCAGGTGACACCACTTCTCGCGCGACCTCTACCTTATGTTTCACTTTCGAAGTTGATTTGCACAAGAATATAGCATGTTCTTAACACAAAACGCAAAATTACAGGACCCTTGAAGCAATAATAAAATACAATGTTATGATAAGAAACAGAAGGCGTGCTTGTAAGGACTTTAATAGTATATACGAAAATGAGCTTCAAAGCCGAGAAGTCACGTTGACCGTCAAGGCGTTTGTATCCGCTGAAGTTTCATTCGGTGTTTTGTGTGACGTGATTTTATTCAGTGTGCGTTTGTTTTATCAATCTTCTTAACATCTTGGAATGGCTGGGCCCATGATCACTCCATTTCTTTTAAAGCAGAGAATCCGCAATCAGATCTCCACTGAGGCCACCCACCGCCTACTAAAGGAGTATTCAGAACTTTCTACCGGGATGATAGCGGCCGGATATTCAACTCGACCAGAAGTACGGAGATTATGAATGAGTGGAGCGTTGTCTCCACTGCCCCTTATGCTGATTTTCGAAACTAAGCAGGCCACAGCGGTAGGTGTTTTGTGTCTGCGACCACGTTGTCCAGCAATTCTCGAATAATTACGTGTCTTCAGATTCCTACATAAATCGTACTGTTTTAAGCTGTTTACTCATATAATTTTGTCCATAAAGCGCTTTTACACAGACGGCAATCCTTCGTAGGACCCTGCTGTAATCTCCTGACTGAAAACTTTCCTTCGAAGTGAATTTTATTGTGATACATTGTAACAGACCATTTGACAACTTAAGTGTCTTCACGACGATGGTTCGTGGGGAACAAAATTTGTAATCAAATTTAAATAAAACTGAGAAGTCACACTACAAACTTAAACTTGCAGCATTAGTACGCAGACTTAGTCATGCTTTAGCATAAATTTTCCGGGCCGCATGGATACTTAGTTCTGGTCAGGACATTGGAAATATCGTTGGCGAAAGGTTGAGACTGAATTTACAGACAAT